AGTCCGAAATCGATATGAATTCCCCCCAAGAGACTTTCCCTCTGCTAGATCTGAAATTAGGGACCCCTAGGACAACCAGCAATGGCACAGCGCTCCACCTGAGTCGCTGAGGCTGAGGTCCTTCCACGCTAAGTCTCTGATTCCACTCCGGAGTCGTCCGAGTCCGCCGATTCTAACATAAAGGCTAAAGAGCCAGTCTACCCTCCATGCTACTTTATATACATATGTACAAGTGTATGCCGGAGTGTCAGGAACATGTCGGATGCATATCCGGATGATCTGCAAGGTGTTGTAACAGGTCTATCAATCTAGACTCGCAACTCAGGTCTAGGGGGGGTAGGTCTGTCTCTATCTCTCAGGTAGGTATGGTCCTTGGGAGTACGGTGCTGATACTCTGTGTAACCTCTAACTAACTGTCTGTACAGTTGTCACGGAAGAGTCCGATACAAATATAAAAGGAAAGTCACATGCGTGAATGAATGAAAACAGTAAAGAAAATAAAGAAAATATCAGATCTCCTTAACCACTCCACCAAATCCAACAATCTTGGACTCGTCAGAACCACCTCCACAGTCTCTACAACTCTTACTATTACCACAACTCACCAATCCTAGTCCCTAATGCAGTAGGGGGTGAAATGTGTGATAAGTGTTGGTTTGACCTGCACGGACTTGTCCCCACAACAGTGTGCGAAGTCGTCCAGGCTCATAAGGTCAGAGGGGCAGGACTTCAGCTTCAGCAACTCAGGTGGAGCACGCTGTGCTTTGTTCTTACGTTGTTGTCCCAATTTCAGACAGAAGCCTTACGATGTAGAGAAGAGACTAGGGGGGAAATCCAAGTCGATATACAAACTGAGGTACATCCGGTGTAACCTACACACATTATAAGCACAAGTAACTAAATGGGCTGGCCCGGAAGGAGTGGCAGATCAAGTGCGATATTAATGAATGAAGAAAGAGACAAATAGTTAATATCTGCAAACTTGGTCAACAAAAGGCAAGCAAGAACAACAAGTGGCAAAGGAGGAACAATAGTCCGCAAGCAAACAAAAGAGAAAAAGCCATCTGGCCATCTAGCAAGCCGTCCGGTTGGCAGGCAGACAACAAAGAACCACTCGAGCAGGCAACCTTGGTTGGGAGGTATGCACATGGGGGAGGAAGTGCCGATGAGGGTGATGGGTGGATGGATGATGATGTTAGCGGGTGGGACAGGCCAAGTGGCACTAGGGCATGTTGACGGATGTGATGGATGTGCCAGGTCGTGACATGGAGTCGGCAAATGCATGTGGCTTGGTAAATAGTAAACAAGCATGCTTTTGCGTGCGATCTCAGCAAGATATAAATGGAATAAAATGGGAAAGCATGTGCAGCCTTCTCAGGCCTTACAGGGATCGACTAAAGTCAACTTAAATAAAAGAATTATTTCTCAGAAAGCCTGAGTGACAGATCCAACAAAGGAATCACAGTAAATTCACAGAAAAGTTCCAGCAAGAGAAAAGCTCTGCAGGGGTTCTGTTTCCTAGTAATTCTAACATCCTGAGTTTCAAAGACTAATGTACAACAAGGAGAATTAGCCAAAACACTCAGGCAGGCACAAAGATCTCAAGTGCACATCCCCAAATGAACAATGATCCCAGAGTTCGTCACTCTCGCAACAATTTCTTATTTGATCACCCCAAGAACACCAAGAAGGGAAGCAACAGGAATGCTGTATGTCGGTGAGGGCAAGTATAGGACTGTCCCTGCATATAAGCCCTAACAATTGTTAGGTGCAGACTTGCAGCTAGACACTGTTGCATAGAGTGTTGTTCCTCTCTTATCATGAGAGTGTGTATTTATCTTGGATAGATCTTGTAATGCCCAGGCTAAATGTAGAGAACACCAAAGAGAAACTGATTCTTCCATAAAAGCATGGCTTTGCAGGGACGACCAAAGCAATCAAATGAGAAGGTGAGTGCAAGAGACTAAGTAGCAAGGTGACATTGCTGGAGGTGGGAAAAATGCCAAGGAATTCCGGACTCGAAAGTGACCTTGCAAGGTAACTCCTCTATGGCGCTCTCCTCGCCTACCATCATAATTCTCCTCGTTTCCAGCTTTCCAATGATACCTCATTCATCCCAATTGGTCCAGTAGTTCATGAGATATTCATTGACAGGTGCTGTCAAGAGCACGTGAGGTTCAACACCATGTCGAATCATCCATATACTAAGGCTCTGTTCGGTAGAAAGAAACCTGTTTCTTTTTGTTTCTTCATTCAAAAGGTGACTGATTCTTTCTTGTTTCTTCTGCCACTTTTGTCAAGAAACGAGAAGAAACTGACGAGTGTTTGGCATGCCGGTTTCATTGTCATTTCTTGCTACAGCTTTTTTCTTATAAACCTCACACATGTAAATTAAGTGTGAATTATTGTTGCAAGTATGGATGCTGATCTTGGCAACACCCATCCCTCGATAACAAACGACGTCGTACACCCCGGGCCAAGGGGGAATCCACAAACCCACCTTCCAAGCATGCTGATTGGAAATCGCATGAGGAAGTGGAGCTCGTCCACTCCCTTCTTGAAGTTGAGTGTGCAGGTGGCACCTCAAATATTGGGTTCAAAGACAAGGTTTGGAACTCAGTTTCCGCACACTTAACTCAGGAATGCAGGACTGTGTTCAAGCCGAGTGCTTGTAAGAATAAGTATGGCAAGGTGAGTATGAGATGAGTGACTAATCAGACCACTGACTATATCTCTGCCATAGTTAAAACAGATATACTGGGCCATCAAAAGACTTTCAGAGCAGTCAGGATTTCTGTGGAGCAATGAGAATGGTGCTGATAGAGCGATAAGTTTTTGTTGATACTAGATGCGATGTTGTTTGATATTGCTAGTCTTGCGTGTGGCCATTATCGTATATAATGGCATTTAAAAAAATAACGGTATAGGTACATATGGGATGCCCTGACACAAGCAGTTTCTTTCTTGCTACCGAACAGAGCCTAAGGATGTTCCATTTGGGATGATACTCCCCGGATTAGGAGGGTGGGTTGACATCACCAGTGTCTAGAGAGTGAACAGGTTTCAATGGTATTTGAGGGGATGAATTGTGAGAATCTAGCATGTTGCGAGTGCTCAGTTCTGAACAAGCCAACTAAAATGAATTGCTTATCTACCTAGCACATTGTAAGCGCTAGGATATTTACAAGGTTTTTAGTCATCGACAAGTCAGCGAAGACAAGAAAGCTCACCTCAGTTCTGAACAAGCAAACTGAGGGAGAGACAAGGGCAAAAAATTAAGGCTTTTAAGCCTTCTGGAAAAGAGTGATCAAGAAAGGAATGACAGACAATCATGTAGATCATGTGTCTGTGTGCAAGATATGTGTTGACCTTTCTCCTAATATGAATGTTGGGCATGCAAGTTTTGACTTGGCACTGTAACGGCTCTATCACCTAGACTCGAGACAGAGAAAAGGGGGAGGGTGGTAGTGATTGTGTATGTGGTTGGGAGGTCCGGGTTTTGGTCTTGGGGCGCTACCATGTCTACTAGAGCCTCAACTAAACACTCATGTACATCTCTCTTGGATGTCAAGGCCGAGGATTATGAGCAGAGGGGTGTTAGATGTTAGCAACAAGCTCAGGGGGGGCATGGGGTTGTGGATGGCATCTTTGCCACTTGGATGTAACTACTTTTTACTCCTTCATGGGTCTATTCATTGCTAACTTGTTATGTACATGTACAAGGTATTTTCTATTTTATATGAACTGGAAATGAAAGGATCGGGATGGGGAAATTTGAATGGGCTGATAGGCAACCATAAATAAAGAATGTCCAATTAGGAACAGACAAACAATAAAAGAAATATGAATGGGGAAATTGTGACAACGGGTCCCAGACGGAAATTGTAAAAGTTAACTCCGCAACACCGCCCGCCTATCCTGTCGCCAGCAACCTCCTCGTCTCCAGCTTTCCAATGAACCCTCATTTGTCCCAATTGGTGCAGTAGTTCCTGAGATATGGCCATTGACAGGTGCTGTCAAGACCATGTGAGGCTCTACACCATGCTGAACCATCCATGTATGGGATTTCCACTCTGGGAAATGCTCCGTGGGCAAAGGGGGAAGGTAGATCGTCACCAACAGGTAGAAAAACCGCTGGGTTTAATGTGTGGTTATGGAGGTCTGGGGAGGGGGTGAAATTGGCGGTGTGGTTGGGCGTGGGGAAATTGACTTGGGACTGTCAGGAATGTTGGGAAAAATAAGGAAAGAATGAGGAATGAGTGTATGGAGTGTTGGATAGTAAGGAAACGAGCAATGGAAGCATCCGCGGTTGTGTATTGTGCATTGTTGGGTAGAATCCGCAGAATCCGACTTTTTGCCATGCACGGACTTGTCCTCACAATGTTGTCCCTCCCAATCAATGTATATAACACCTTCCCATCGTCTCCATTGGACTCTCCTTGACTCTAGCTTCGTGCTGATATGCCATTCATCCCATTTGGCTTGGTGGATCTTGAGATAGGCACGTGCCATTCGACATGGTGTTGAGTGTCCTCATATCTCTGTCAATACTGCACCGTTTGGTATGAAACTCGGCAGAAAAATAAGCCTAATTCTCCTCTTTCGATCTTATATTTTGCCGCCGAAACGCACACATGGATGTCAGGATTTTCAGGCAGAAAGGTGGGGTGAGTGTGGACATGGGAATCGTCCACTCCCCACGTTTGCAAGCGACCAAAACTCGTTGTATACTGAGCACCTCGTTGTGAATGAAATTTTGATAGGTGGGTTGGATGCACGGACTGAATCTCCCTGGGGCTCTTCACCTTCACAAACATTTTCGACTATTTAGCTGAGTTTTGGGACCCCACTACGATCCACCTGGCCCCTGTCTTGCTTCCCTGGGGCCCCAAGGCCAGAGTGGCTCTCCCACTCTCCGATCATAAAAAATGAAATTGAAACTGGCAAAATTATAACAAATAATATAACAAATAATGATAATGATAAGACAAGGCTTCGTGCTACAGGGTCGGTGACACCCATTCCCTCCTCCTAATCAAAGATCCATCCCACATAGCCTTATCATCGATCAAAGGATTGAGAATGATTATGGGAAGCCTTTGACCTGCCATATCTGCAGGGAAGGTCTCTGCACTTTTGGCGTTGGATGTTGTGTACCACATTCGTGAAAGGTCAGAATAGGGTGCCCAAACAAGTTTGGAGTACACATTCTTCCAGACCTTCTCCCTAATACGATCGCCACCAGTATAGTCGAATCTCTGGATGAATTCCCACCAGGCAGCATGAAACGAATGCCGCTTCCAACCCCTACCACCATTTTTGTACTCTATCAACCCTTGCTCTCTCTCATCCCCATATCTCATGGGTTGGCCTCCTCTCCTCTCCCTATTGTATGTCCCCTTCATCCTTGCTTCTTCCCATTTCAGGTCAGCTGGTGGGAAAGAGAGCTGGAACGCTACATGGAACTCTGGGGGGTTGCGCTTCCTGATGTGAGCTCCGGTGAATCCACTGCGGAAAAGATCAGGTTCTTTAAAGTACCCTATACCAGGGTGTGCAACTGGACTGTCTGGATTACGGACAGTATGGTAGAACAGCTCTGGGGATTGCGTCTGGGGGACAGGGATGGTCTGCAGCATGTTGGAAAAGTAAAAGTCGAGGATCTGCTGGATATTCTTGGTCAATACCAGGTTCGTGGTCCCTTGAACGAGCTGAGGGACCCCATCACTGTTATCCGAGTTGGGGAAAGAATCCTTCAGGTGCTTGGTAGCGCTCTCCTTCAATTTGATATGAGCATTTGCTAGCAGCTCATCTAGTGATTCCGGCAGATCTGGTGGAAGTGTGTGGTTAGGTCTTGGTAGATGGAAAGGAGCAGGTGGTGTGATGTAGGGGGTAGTTGAAAGTATTCTTTCGAGCTCGTCGATGGTAAAGCTGGAGAGGTGTTTGAGATACCGATCCAGCAGTAGCCGACGCCATCCCAATCCAAGTGTGGCTCATGCTTTGAATCCAGGGGAAATTGGCCTATGCCAATCATCTGTCATGTTCAGGTTGTAATCAATGTCCCTGAACCAGATGACATTTCCCGAGGCAAATGGGCGGTATTCTTCATTTTCCGCCTGCGCCCTCCATGGATTCCTGTCATGTCCATCTAACAGATCTGGGTGGGAGAAGTTGTCGGTGACAGGGAGGGAAGCACACATGAGCTGGTGCTCTGATGAACCTGCTGCTGGTCTCCTGTTCAGCATGTTGATCCACCATGTGAGTGCAGCACTGAGCTCCAGAGCATGTCGTGCCAGTCTAGACTGGGGGGTCCCATTCATCTGAGCCTCAATGACCTGACGACATGCATGAGCCACCAGAAGCTTGAATAGCCTAGTTTCAACAGTAAGCCACTTCCATATTCCAGCAATTTCAGACTCACCACCACCGATCTGCAGGCACTGAGATGGTGCACTGCTCGATGAACTCCTTTGTCACTGTTCTCAGGGAATTTTTGGCTTTTCGAAGGGGAACGCATATCTCCAATCTTGCCGTCCCTTCTGTCCTCTCATGATGAGCTGAATTCCACACTTCCTCCAGATTATCGAATTCCACTCTCAGTTTATCCTTGGTTTTTTCTCCAAACACGTTCTTTTTTGTGATTCCCAGCATAGGGTCAAACCTGTCAGCTCTCCTACAAACCCCCTTCTCCGACGCATACCATTGTGCATAAATGGGTAAGCAGGGGTGATGAGGCAATGCACAACGTCCTCCAGCCAGAGATAGGATTCCTGCTTGAATGTCACAGAAATACCCCTCCCTTCCAGGCTGTGTCCATTGTCTTTCCACATCCCCCTGATACCCTGTGGCAAGGACCTGAAGAATTCGGTGGTGCTCTGATGCATCCCAGTGAAGAACATGGGCCTTCCTGCTTATTTCGAGCCCCACATCCACCCACGTGCTTTGCTGTTCTAGAGATGTGAGTCCACTGTGAAACATCCCCAGGATAAGTTGTCTGAAGATCATCTCTTGATCCTCTTCACTGGAACCCTGCCCTTCCTCTGTGCCATTGTTAAAAGGGACAGGATGTGTGGTGCTGAGTTTGATTCCCTTGATCTCAAGGCCAAAGAAGAAGCTGCAAGCCCATTCAAAGCGTTCCTTCTTCCTCTCCAGGCAATCTCTCATATGTTCCACCAGTTCACCTAGCAGAGCAGCAGAAACCAGACGCTTCCCACCCACCAGCTTGCCATCCTTGGTGCGGGAGAGGATGCCACCCAAGAGCCGATAAGGGGGAAATGAAGGCGAGGAATGTGGAAGGATATGAATCAAAGCTGGACGCAGGATTTCATCGTAGAATTCCGCAATATAAGTCTCGCTGACCCTGTTGTTGTTGTTGTTGTTGCCATTGTTATTGCCATTGTTGTCATTGTCGGTATTGTTGGAGTTGTTGGTGTTATTTGTGTGGGTTGGGCCTGGTGGGGTTGTGGAAGGGGTGAAGTATGGGAAAAAATTCTAATGAGGCCATTTTTTGAATAATTGCCAAGGCAATAGTTGGCAATCTTATTTGGTGCTGTCACATGGTCCCCAGGTTCACAGTTCTGGATGGAAGTGAGTTGTAAGGGTTAGAGTATGAATGACACTAAGGCTCACAATCTCGAATAGATGATCTGGAAGCTTCACATGCAGATTGGTGGAACCAGAGAGAGAATCCATAGGACAAGGGACAAGGGAAAGCTCCACACTGTCAAATAATGGCAACCCCTGATAGAACCCAATGATAGAGTCAAAGTCCCTGTGGAGGGAGATGCCTGCATCATCACCAGACAGGTTGGTTTTCATGTCTGCAGTATCAAGCTTGTAATATCTGCCATCATCATTCTTGCCTTCTAAAAGGAGTTGCTCAAATTGGATGTTCAGCCCCCCTGGTGTTCTGACAGAATCCAATCTGAATGCCTTTCTGACATATGCTGGGAACCTGATGGGCTGGAGATCTTCACCCAGATCTGAAGGTGTTGTTTCCCTGGATGCCATGGAGGGTTGTGAATGTGCAATAGAGAAAAAATTTCGGCAAGTGCCATTGAATACCATGCCCACAATTGAATCCACTGTGACAGAAATTTCTGTCACACCTTCTCTAATATGTTCATGTGACTGTGACAGGAATTTCTGTCACACAATGTCTCTCCCACTGGTTGGTTGTATTACTGTTCTTGAGCACTAGTATGCCTGCACACTAAGGCAATGATAATTTCCATTTGCAACTCAACCATAAAGGTTATATTACTACTTTAAGGACACTACTCCACATAGTAGCTTGGTATATTATATTTTGCTGCACATCAGGCTTGCTCACGAACACAACATCGAGGGAGTTCTTAGTGCAACATATTATGATTTGGTTTGCAATCAAAAGCAGAATGCGCTGCATGTTCTTGTTGTTCACTAAGCACTATTATTAAGCTACCCTCGTTGTGTTTTGGTTGTGTTGTTTGTGAACAACAGTACACTGTGTTGCACTAAACTAAGAAATACATCAATTGTTGGAAATCCCTTATGGCCACTGACTTGTCATATTATTTGCATCTCCTGCTCCACCAGAAGGTTGTTGAAGAATAAGTGCAATGCCATATATATCGGTTCGACATGGTGTCGAACATCACGTGAAATATGACACACAAGAAAGATGAAACACACTGGGACCACTGCTTCCTAAATGGAAGGAAGTGCTGGCATGCAACCACGGTAACACTTTCGGGTCAGGACCAGGAGTTGGGTGCACCTGGACGCAGTTCCTCAGCACCAGGGTAATCCCGCAAAGGATTAGGCTGGCGGTGCCACAAAGTACAACTACCGTAGTACCTCTTGTCCCACAAAAACCACCTTGAAGAGTACCAAACATCTCTCCTCATCTCTCCACAGACAAACCTCAACAATCCCCAAAATCCTCCCCCACTGCCTCTTAACTTTAATGAGGAAGATGACCCCATGGTTGACAGCTCCCCCATACATGCAACCTTTGGCAGTACCCCTGCCAGAGAAGTGGCCAAATGCCTCAGATCCCCCGACTCATCCAATATGCAGGGTTGGATCGTCGATCATCATAAAGTCAAGTTACACCTAAGTTACAATCGGCGATGAGCCAAGATGACTCCGCCAACCGACCCTCCGGGAGCCAACAAGTCCCTGCTGACAGACCCTCCGAGGGACAACAAGTCCCACTGGAACAACCAAGAGATGGTGTCTTCGATTCGCTCCTGCAAGACCTCGATCAGATCCTCACCGATTACAACCTCCAGAAATCGTCCATATTCGAAGCGTACAATGCAGTCAACGCACGGTTGGAGTCAGAGTCAGACCTTACGACCACCCAATGTGCAGACACCTCAAAGAGGTACGGAGACTGACTCGAGGTCGCAGCTCGCTCCCGAACAGAAGCTGGAGTTAGAGGATCGCGAGGTGAGCAACCAAGTAGGCGAGATGAGACCGCTGCTCGAGCGGATGGGGCTCACGAATCAAGCCCTGATGATTTGCCTGGGTCTCCCGATTTGGGAGGAGTCAATATCTTTCAACCACCATCCAAAATCCGCCGTCTCCTCTCAAAAAGCTACCAGGCTACAATTGTTATGAGGGTTCCCCTCAAACTGGATGGCCGAGCTTGCAGCGCCTTCGGCGCTGCGCTGCAAGCTTGGCCATCCAGTTTGGGAGGAACCCTCTAACAAACCATACTGCAATTTCAAATTAAATATGCTATCTTCATTTGTATGCAAAGTGTTTAGTTCAGGCAATGGTCTATTTGATTGCAGTAAATAAACTCCATACTGTTGGAATAACCATCAGGGATGGAGTAACCTCCCTGGCATAATGGGTGAGTAGTGTATGGATGCATGCTAGAGGTCCTGGGTTCGATACCAGGCTTGTCCATTTTATGTCATTCATCCAGTCACCTGATTTACATTAGTTGAATTCATGACATAATTCTATAGCACTAGCAACATGAATTTCTTCACATACTCAATCCAAGAATCTGAGCCATATCCATGCATTCAGTGTCAGGGATCGCTTGTCAGTCCAAGTCAAGTATCACCCAAAAACCTAGTCATAGACAAAGCTGAGGTTCCAACCCTCAGCAACACATAGGGCTATATACATGAGAGATATGAATCAATTGGAAGAAAAAGGATCAACAGAACTAAATGATGAGGTAGGCAACAAAGTAATAAAAACAGGGAGATACTCAGATCAAGGGGTGGAGTCAGATCAGGGAAAGGGGTGAGAGAGTTATGGGCTGATGCAGCTACATGCGGTGATATATGTAGTCATATGCTATGTCTCTGACATTCAGATTGGCCCACAAAGATATGCCAATATGGGTCTGATCTGCTAGGAGCCCTAGATGTCAGGTAGAGGGAGGGTGCATGGACACTCCTCCACATTAAAGTCTTGGCAGGTGACTGATAAAAATGGAAGCAGGATTGCATATATACATGTTACCCAGGGAAATCAATGTTATTAAGTTGCCATCATAGTGTACCTGATATTAATCAGAGACAGCTAGCCATGTGTTCTGCACTTGCTCACTGTCCTTACTCCACATTGGTCACTGCAGGGGCTGTCCTGCTCTGCTCCATATGGCATTATTAAAGAGATACGTTCCCACCACACCACAGCCCCATACCCAACTTCCCAACCCCCTACCCAACCCAACCCACCAACCCAAACCCCCAACCACCAACCCAACCCATGGGCAATTACTTTCCAGGCATGCATACACTCACTCACTCACTCACTCACTCACTCACACAGCACACAGCACACAGCACACACAACACAGCACACAGCACACTCAGCACTCAACACTCAGCACTCACACACACACCACACACCACACAGCACACCACACTCACACACCGCACTCACACACCACATACCACACCACACTCACACACTGCACTCACACACCACATAATACCACACCGCACTCACACACTGCACTCACACCCCACACAGCACTCGCACACCACACACACACACTCAGCACACTCAGCACTTGCACACACACAGCCCTTACCCAAACAAATGCATGCCTTGCAAGCTCAGCCAACAAACCACTGTCTCTGTCATATCCATACAATCCCGACCTCCACTCCAGGCTCCTGGAACTCCGAAACTGACTTCTGGAGTCCTACTTCCCTTCTGTCACCTTCTCCTTGCTGACTCCCAAGAGGTTATCCCACCTCCGGCTCCGACACCACCTTCGGTCCGACTCTGGAACATTCCAGGTCCGACCTCAACCTTGACACCTCCCAGACAAGCACACAACACCTATGCTCCCAACTCTGGACCTCCACTCCGGAATCCTGTTTGTGTCTCCATCTCTGGAACCTCTGGTCCTAGCTCCGACCTCGGACTTTGACCCCACCTCTGCTTATACCCATTGCATTGGTTAGCTCATTCCATTTAATTACGTTTGCCAATATTCCGGAGTTTAACTTCCGAGTTTGGACTTTCCAGACTTACTTCAGACCTTGCAACTATTGCATTGCTCCATTCAATTCCGCTATTCTCCCTCATTCCTATTTGGGCTGCTGCTTCCTTTCTATTCAGTCAGCTAGCCATTCCCCACTCCCATCCTCCTTCCTTCCTCCTTGGGCCTTGGCCCTTCACTCCTCCTTTGGGAAACACCATTGAGTCAAACCCTAGACCCTCAGTGTTGTTCCTCCTTCCAGCTCCCTTTGTCTCCTTTCGGAGTACCCTTGCTCCTTTTGATTCCGGACCCCTCCTTATATACAATGTACTTAGTAACTTGTAACCTCAGTCTGAAATCGACTTGATTTCCCCCCAAGAGACTTTCCTTTGCTAGATCCGAAATTAGGGACCCCCAGGACAACCAGCAATGGCACAGCACTCTGCCTGAGTCACTGAGGCTGAGGTCCTTCCACGCTAAGTCTCCAATTCCACTCTGGAGTTGTCCGAATGTAAGGAAGGGGTGGTGATTTACTTATTCCTTTATTATTCCTTGTTGTACTTTTGTATTTACATATGTATGGTGCGGAGTCGGGTAAAAGGTTCTTTACTCTTCTCCACACCAACGTCGAATACTAAGTTCTATACAACCTAGATATCAACTGACCTGAGGACTGAAGAGGCACCAAGGTCGGCACCCCAACTGGCCTTACAAGCGTGGAGCAGAGCAGCATGCCCTGACAATACTCAAGGAGTCAAGCTTAGGGTTTCTTTTCTACTTGGATCTCTCAGCACTACAGTCTCTTTTGTAGTCAAAAGGAGGTCCTCTTTCCATTCCTATGTGTACAGGGCTTTTAAACACATGGAATGGCAATAATGTGGAAAAACAAATGAAAAGAAAATATTGTTGATGAGCGACACTTGTGATCTCAGAGCTGGACTATGAGCAAATACTCAGTCTCAGCTAATATGTGTGAAGAACTAAATATATTACCTATGAGCAAATACTAGAGGTAATATACATAATATAAGTTACAATGATAAAACAATGAGGGAATGTAACTAACCTCAGTCTCAGCTAATATGCGTGAAGAACTGAGGGAAAAGGAAATGAATTCAAATGAATGAATATATCCATGGTCTGGCACGGATTAGTCCGAAATAATATAAAGGAGGTCTTGTGACTAAGTAGCCACATGGTGGATTCTGGGCGAGTTGCTCTCCCAGAATGTTCCCACGCTAATGCAGGAATGTGGCTGTTCAGGTTAGCTCCGTTGGAGTACCCTCATAGCACACGGTTCCTCCAACAAATATAAAATGAAAGATTGTTGTTACGAGCACCATGTAGACAGTTATGTATGGCTGATAAGTCCAACGGTCAATGTGGAAGTTCAATAAAAGAAAACAGGAGTGATAAGTGGGCCATATCCGCTGATAATTGCCATCCTCCACCAATTTCCATCATCACACCACACTCATCCATCTCCTCCTACCTGTAGCATCTCTTCCCAACCTCTCCATTTGATTCCCCGGGTTTGTAGCTTTCTCCCAATACCAAATTTGTCCCAAATGGTTGAGATTTGACTGAGTGGTGGGCGTGAGAATCATGAAATTGGCCCATGCACAGGGTTAGGCATCCTGGAAAGTGTCCATGAGAGTCCCCATGTCAATTGAATCTTCATACACATCCTTTGTGATTTTTCTGAAATTTTCTGAGCACTCCAGAGTGCATTTTGGTTGTTTGTTTACTTCTGTACAGCTTGTGATTTCCATTTTGGGCCAAAAACCAGTTTCATGATCTCCCAAAGTATGGATCTCGGCTCCACCACATGGGACTTTCAACACTGCCACCCTCATGTGCCTTTTGACATTGTGTGGAACCTTACAGTAAGATGAGAAATTGTCAC